AGAGAGAGAGACAGAGAGAGAGAGGAGGAGGGGGGGGGAATGAGAAAGAGAGGCCCCATGTCATTCCATAAGCCAAAAGCAAGGGGCCAGTACAAAAGTCTACAATTCTGAAAGGGCTATTTATGTGCTGAATGCTTCATGACTACACAGTCAGCACAGAACTTGCTTCAGGTAGTTAGGTCTGCCCTTGAATAAAACACATTAGTGAGACAGCGTGGTGGAATAAGGCTCTCGTCAATTTTTGGGCACATTGAGTTATTGTATCATCTTGAAGCTTGTTCATTTGTCTTGCTTTCAATAAAAAAAAACTACCCATCCATCTTCAATAGACCTGGAGATATTTTGGATTGAGGGAGGAGGGGGTCACCTGGTTTAAGAGGTAAAATTAGCGAGAAAATGGTCGCCAAAGCAGGGTAAATTCCAAAGCTTGAGAGTCCATGGACCTGTAAATCTATATTTTTGTGCCTCTAATTAATGTTTCCGATGAAATCCTAAAAGGAATGTGTTTGTAAATGGACATAAAAGGTGTTGAGCCAAAAAACAAAAATTTGATCAAAACTGTTAAGCAGGGAGAAAACTGCTGTTTTCTTCGATTTCATTATTTGACGAGAGCCTGATTCCACCACGCTGCCTCACATTTAAAATAACAGAAAATACTCACAATCTTCTTCATCTTTGACATCATAGAGCTCTGAAATCGAATAGAACAGAAAAAAAATAGAAGTCATGACAGGGTCTTGTATGTTTGTTTCTATTTCTTTATTTGTGTGTGTGTGTGTGTGTGTGTGTGTGTGTGTGTGTGTGTGTGTGTGTGTCTGTGACTATTTATGTACGTATTTTTTAAAAGAGGGCAGGACAGGGAATACAGAGTGTGTGGGCGGTAGCAACTCTAGCAACATAACCTCTCTGGGGTAAGGGCTGCAGCTTTAAACCAATACTTGTCATGTCTTCTCTCTCTATGTGTCCCTCCCTCTCTCTCTCCTAATATAAATATCTCTCTCTCTCTTTATCTTTCTCCCTACACCCCCCCCCCTATTCCTTCTCAATCTCTTGCTCTATCTCCCCCTCTCTTTCCCTTCTTTCATCTTTCTCTCTCTCTCTCTATCTCTCTCTCTCTCTCCCTCTCTCTCTCTCTCTTCAACAGGGAGAAACTTATTTATGTTTCATGGAGCTTTTAACTTATACCGCTCTCCACCCAAAAAAAGAAAGAGGGAGGGATATAACCTGGAAAATGGGCTGGGACAAAGTGGCAGAACCTTTAACGGGAACACATGGGCACAATACATACTCTGTTCATCTTTATCGATAAATTACCCCCAACCAGTCACAATGACGCCAAGGTCAATTCAAGTCAAATCCAAGTCACATCCACATCAAGACACAAGTAGGAGTGAAAACAAGCCAAGCAGAGTGAGGCAAAGATAGCTACCATCAAAGTAATCTTCCTTGGACGAGATGACCTTGGCCTTTGCAGCAGGGTCTATAGTTGAGCCAGAGTTACCGTCAGCCTTCGGAGCTCTGGACCCGTCGTGATCTCTGTTGACACAACATTATACCACAGCATGATTAATAGCAAACGATTGTAAAGATACAATTCACCCCCCCTCTCCCCCCCCCCCCCCCCCAAAAAAAATTTTTATCATTGACCCCCTTAGTGACAGAGGGTCAGTTTGTGCTTCACTGTACACAGTTTCGCGAGGCATGTCGAACGCCGCCCATAACAGAAAATCTTGGCTCCTTCGCCGTATAAAAAACAAAAACACGAATGGTGTACGTCGTGTAGGTCATGAAGGGGTTAAGGAGGCGTGCTTCTTTCACCCCAATTTTTCAAGCCTTACGAAAAGGTAAAAACAGCATTAGTGTCGCTGCTTTGGTTCCTGAGTCAAAATGACAGTTTTGAGAATTTGCATCATGTTTCAAAACAGCTGAGTGTGACAAGCTACTCATTTTCTCTCATTTCTACACGTCTCAAAAGCCAATCTTTGACCTTAATTTTGACCACTTAGGATATAGCTTCTTTGACTTTAACTTTTATCATTGAGGTGGTGGGTTTTTTTCTTACCCTAATTTATATTATTTTGGAGGTGGGCTTTTGTCAGCCTGGTTTTTATAAGTTAGGACACAGGCTTTAAAAACTCTAACTTTTATCACTTAGGAGGCAGGCTTCTTTGACCCTAATTTTGGCCATTTATGAGGCAGGCTTCATTCACCTTGCCTGTCAGGGCCAACACAGTCTATAAAGGATACAGCATCTCAACAAAGGGATGGAGATAGTCAGTGAAATAAATAGCCACCCCCCTTCTCCAGGAGGGAATGCAACTCATGTCTTTTGTGTGCTAGGCAAAGAGCACAAAATCAACAGTAAGATCTATAATAAAACAAAGTGAGATGCAAAATTGATAGAAAAGTCTATTTTGTTTCGGGACATAATGCTGCACTGATAGCTTGGGAGTGGAAGGAACCTGTGCCGCTGGGTGCACTGGACGACAGTGTCTGAGCACCTTGCAAAATAAAGAAGCATAGCGTCGGCCGGCTGTTCAGATGTACTGCTCTCAAAATTTTTTAAGTACAGTAGTCTCCACCTAAGATCCTGTTGCTCAGGAGCAAGGAAAATACAAGATCTTAGGCGAGTGGGATCTTAGCCGACGCACCAAGAGAAGAACCTATAGTGACCCATGTTAAGGCCCACAACTTGTAAAATGGTCTCCCTTCCCTCTAAAATGAACTGACATGATCCCTGGGTGGGTATGATGGCTTATGGTGAGTAAAGAATGCTCAACCCTGAAGACCAATCACAGTGGCATGAGGCATGCCATTTTCACTTATTATCCCATTGTGCATCTCAAGATCTACACTTAGCCAGTTGCCCCTCCCCATTACCTGTCCAACGTTTATAGCTATCCATCTCTGACCAAGTTCCCCTGCCTTTATCATTACACACCATTACGTTGTGACCACACCAATTCAAATTCAGTCTGTCTCACAAATTGGGGAGTAGAGACAACTGCTGCAATGATCAGGGAAGAGTTTACAGCTCAATGTGATCCTGCCTGGAGCAGACTTGTACGCCCTACCCACCCAGCAAGTGATGTAAGTATAGGTGGAGAGCTCAGATGCGAGTGCGATGTTTGCGGAAAACAAACACGTCTGTCAGTTCACACCTCGGCGTGATCCCGTGTGGGGCAAACATTGCACCATTACATCGAGTTTTACAACGCTTATGTGATCACATTCACAAGAGTGGCTCATCTTTGAATTGACGTGACGGGCAGTTCAACTATCTCAACTTTTCACTCTTGGTTGATCAGCCTGGGTTTTAGTTCCGTAAATCATTATTTGAAATGCGAGAGCTTAGCTGAATGTAGTCCTTCAAAGTGAATCAGAGTGGGATCTTAGGGGCCACTTTTATGTAGTAAAAATTATGTTTTCTTAAGCGAATTGGGATCTTAAAAGGTGGGTTCTTAGGCGAAGACTACTGTATTTCTTTATTGCAGTTTCTTAATCTGTGATATCTGTTGCATGAGCTTGAGAAATATTTTGTTGAAATTCAAATTCTAAACTTCAAAAAAAAAGGGAAGAAAAAAATACATATAATACAGGTATAATTGTTTAAAGAATGAAACAGTATTTAGCTCTCTTTTTACAAAATTTTACTTTTTGGGCTTAGAATAGTTGAACACCTTTCAGACATAAAATTCAAGTCCCAACTCGAAACAGTGATTTTGTCATAGAAAGAGGCCTCCATGTTCAAAAGTCCATTGACGGCCCACATGTCACACATCATCTATCCTTCCTTTTTTCCATCTGTAAACAACACTTAAAATCAGATCATCTTTCATAAAATATACCCAACATGATAAGAGCAAACAATGAAATGCTATTGAGAATTCTCTTGAGCCTTAAATATTGTTCCTGGTCATCTTGGCTTCACGAATGTCCAAACTACAAACCTTTTATCTCAGGTCTGGCGCCTCGCCTTTCGCACATAGTTTAAAACCTACTCTACACTTACAGCCAGCACTCAGTAAGTGCTTTCAGGAAATGCCAAAAATAAAGTCTGCTTGAGAAAAGAGAAGCACATCACTATAATTTTAAGCTGTCTGGGAAAGGGTGACAAGGAAGAAAACTAAATAATGACTCAGACAAGACAAAATCGTGGTGTTATGCTCCAACCATGTAATCGGTTGCCAGAACTTTTTAAACCATCAAAACAAAATCATTTTGATATATACATAAAGGAAGAAAACATATTAGTTAGCCCACAGTACTTTTATACTCCAGATTTTTTTAAAAAAAGAACTGCAGAACAACTGCGCCAATGGCTTTAGAACAAAAACAACAAAAGAATCGTCCCACTTCTTCCAGTCAGATGTTTAGAGCAAAACACTGTTGATACGAAAAATTAATTAACCCCCACACTGCTTGAAAAGGTAGCATGCACTCACTTTGGAGACTTGGCCTCCTCAGCATCGTAGAACTCTTCATCCTCGCTGGATGAGTATGATGTGGCCGGGACTGCTTCATTCACCACAACAGGCACAGGAAGATCATCGTCTAGAGGAGCCATGATGAGAGACACACTGTCAGTCAACATAACCGTAACTGATTCATTTATTGAGGCACCAGACAGCTACACTTTTGTCATTGTTTTAGCACCGTGAACTGGGGCATTAATAGTAGTATTTCATAACTTTCCCAAAATGAAGAAACAATTGAGTTTGAGACATAGACAGCAAGCAGTAACTGTAATCATAAACTACGCTGAGGTGCCTTGAATTCACAGATCCCTACACTGCAGTATTGTACAATCACACTCTTCTCAACTTCCTCTGACCACAGAAAAAAATAGTGGCAGCAAACTGTCAGTTTTGTTCCAGATGATTGACAAAAAAAAGTGCCATTGTTACTAACAATACAAAATAATGAAGTATACATTTCACATACAACTATAGCTATACCATATAATGATTTTAAAACAGCATTTAAAAAACCAACAACCCACTTCTTTCTATTCATGTTTACTGTTACTTTTTAGTAAATAATATCCATTCCTTTAAGACACACAAAGACACTCAGAATATACTCCAGACACAGTACAATTAAATATCATCACACTGCTGAGTGAAATATAATCAAACTCTTTTCAAAACAAACAAACTGAACTGAAGCACAAAACTCCACATACAACATGACCAAGAAATGAAGGAAGAAACTGGTAGACATTATCCGTCAAAGTGGCTTTGGCGGCATTTAGTGATGCGCAAATGCAGAGCAGTGCAAAGGCATCCTGAAGGCGCAAGTACAACAACTTAACTTTCCTAAAGAGATCTATTGAGCAAAATGTGAGAGAATCTTTGCACATTTAAGATATATGATAGAAAAATTGAATATTTATATCTTCATGGTGCACCATGATCACAAGCATAGCTGCCAACTTTTTACAACCCAGAAACGGATTCTACCCATGATAATGAGCAACGGCCAAGTAATCTCCCTCCAAACCCTTCCCACAAGCTTTTCTGCATTCAACATATTCCAGCGAATCAAAGCAGACCTGCAGCAAAACGCCTCTCCAGTGGACTTATGGGCTTCATTCCCATTATTATTCGCGTATCCAGGCTTCAAAGTTCATAATTTTTCTTCAGCATCGGCAAGTCCATGAGGAGTAACACTAGAAAATATACATATTTTTTTATACGAAAACAAACTGCCGTACTCAGACACTTAAAAATATATTAATCCTATCCGTACGCCCTGGGGTCATTTTGTACCCAGGGGTTGTATTTTCTTCACATTTTAGAATACTTCTAGTACGAAGATCTCTTTGAAACTTTCAGTATTTCTCAAAAAATCATTTTGACAGACTGCTATGCAAAGCGTACGGATTGGATTAACAAATAAATTTCCCAGTTGAAAGTGTTGGCACAGAGTTCCCCATGTCGTATGGAGACGATAGTAAAACATGACGTATGGATAGGGTTAAAACATTTTGGTTTTTTTACAAACTGGTTGGCAGCTATGCACAAGGACACTAAACAAACTTATTAAAGAACAACATAGAGCACAAGCATGCTATCAAAGAAAAGCAAAGAATACTTTTGCGGGTGCTGACTGATACTACCACAGTGGTGTATTCTCTGCATGTGTTTTGAAAAGGATATATTCAGTCTACAATCAAACCTAATTGAAAGCTATGAATCATTTTAGAAAATTTTTCTAAGCTGATAAGAAGAAAAGGAAATAAATAAGCATGTCTTTAAAAGACAACACTGGCAAGAACTTTATCATAAATTGTTTATATATCACCATGATAAAAGCATGGAAAATTTTTCTTTAGAACTTAAAATAAAGCAAAAACAAATCCTCTCTAAAATAAATATCTGAGGACAAACAAAATGTACCAAAGAATCACAACCCCAAAAATAAGGGGGCCGAACAGGAAGAAAACACTGAAAGACCCACTCAACATATTTCTCCATGCGTAATTCCACAAGCATCTAACCAAAGTAAATTATTCCTACAAGTATAAAAGACAGACAACAAGTGGTGTGTAAGTATTACAATCTATTTGATTAGAAGACATTATCATTGGTATGGTCCTTGCGTGAGCATTGATAACAAGGTTTTTGAATCACACAAACGTGCTACAGCATCACAGCACACAGCCCTTAAACTAGAGTAGTGAAAGGTGACAGAGTAATCCACTTTAGGAAGGCTGATAATAAGTTGGGACACAAAATGACCATCTAAAAAGGAAAAAAAATCTTTTACTTCATAAGTTGAGAAAACAAACTGATGACCAAAATATTAAGACAGAGGTGAAGGAAAAAAAGAAACTAAAACTCTTGTCTGCTAACAATAGCAATATCCCCATGTTTTTGGTTCTCATAATTTGTACAGAAGTATAAAAACTTGCAATCAAAAACAGAGCATTGTTTAAAAAACCCAGAAACTCCAATGGAAAAAACACTGAAAACCAGTATACTTTGCCCTGCACAAAGAAGGCCTATTATTGCAGAGAGTCGCCCACACTGGTTGTTATCATTTTCTGAAGAGTAAGCATCCAAGTTCGTTTGTTAGAGAAAAGATAAGCACGTCAACACAATAACAGTCATTTTGTGCGTGGAAAAAGAAAGACAGAAACAACAGAAGGAAAGAAAAGAATAAGACCTATCCGTGGTGCCTCCAAACTCTTGCAAACATTGAGGATTTAGAGTTGGTGCCTACAAAGGCGAGAAGGGCGGAGTCAAAAAAGACTTGGTCCCTCACAACTCTCCTAACACAATTATTGAAAACATCAACTGGCTTACATAATGGACTGAATATCACTTTCTGATTTGTCAAGAGTAAAGAGAATCTCATTTACACGACAGTTCATTAAGTGCGCAGGGGAAAAGCAAGACAGACAGCCAGAAACAACAATGAAAAAAAAAAGGACCCATCCTCCTACCATTGAAATTGCTTTTCGAAAAAGAAAGTAAGTAAGGAAACAAAGGGGTTGAAAAAAAAGGGAGGACTCGCATCAGATCCCTTCACCCACTCACAACATAGAAAGGAGAGAAGTAATCAAATTGAAACCAGGGAAAGTAAACAGGGCTTTTTCACGATGAAGGCTTCATAATATCTAAAATAATGACAGTGCCTACCATAAGAAAAATGACAAAAATTAAATAGGGATCTAGACAAAATAAATCGAACAATACTCTGAATACAATACTATACACAAAAAGCACTGCTGTCACAAGAATAAAGAGTTTTAGTTTATTTTGAGTTAAAATTTTTATGGCACTTGCAACACAATTAGGTCAAAAAAATGCCGGAAGATTAGAAGTGTTACTAGAGAAAAACATAGAAAAAATAGAAGGAGGAGAGATAAGGATGAAAGATATTTGACAGGAAAGAAGGAGTAAACCACACCAGAGTGCCTGCTAACCACCCACAAGAAAAATAAAAAACACCATTGAGCCTTCTTTATGGTGTCAGCGATCAGCACTAGAGTCACTCATTTCTCTTGTGTCATTAAAGAACTTTTTAAAAAATAAAAAAATTGTAGAACAAAACGACAGTCAATATGAGACAAAGCCTCCCACACAGTCTCCAGAAGAATAAGACGTGAACCTAAAATCAAGAACTGAATAAGATACAAAATACTAAGACTAAAACATTGGTACCTTTGACCATGACATTCAATCACGGTAAAACAATCAATATAATAATAAATAATGTTCAAAGCACCACTTAAAAGAGCAAATAAGCGCAGACATTCAGGACTAAACAAATATACACATAGCATGTACACCACAAAAAAAAGTCATGCTGTTGATTATGACTTTTTCAAACAATTAGAAGAATACTATCCTCTATTCTTTTCCAATTTCAGTACGACAACAGATACTCAGAATACTGTTTGTCGTTTGCATTTTGCTGAATTCACATAACAGCATCAGCATCTTTTGCACGACTTTTCTCTGCTGATGTCGCTCAATTTTATCACATACAATGAGCTGAAAGCAAATAAGTTTGATTTACAGGGTTGGGTCACAGCCCTTTCTCACTGCATGTCAAGTGGTGTTCATGGGAAATAGCTCACAATTTGTCCAATTTTGCGAAAGATAAAGTACTAACCACTTAACACAGGACTCGAGCACCTAGTTTGTAATTCCTCTTTTTTACCAAAAAAAAAAGAGTTCAATAAAAGAAAAAAAAAACCAATGCCTCTCTGCCACTGTCATTTAATAATATCCCAAAGATCAAAGTTTATTGTTGTCGATGTATTTTGGAAAAAAAAAAAAAGAAAAAAAAGTGAATCAGCCCCTTTGATACTCTGACTCTGTGAGGATATGGACATCCTGATTAGCCCAATAAAAGAAAAGTGCTCTCCACTTTACACACAAGTTGTGTTTTGTGTAAACTGCTATCAAAACAAAAACAAAAAGGCTATATTGTCTGTGATAAAGTATGTGATACGCTTCAGACAAACAGGGATACTCAAAGGCACATTCAAAATTATTAGTAAATGCTCAAAAGTAACAAAAACAAACAAAAAAAAGTATAAAGTATAAAGTACAAAGAAAAAGGGTCACATATTAATGGAAGAACAATTCCTATAGCAAATGCTGAACTGCAAATAAGGCAAATACACGAATTGCATCTTTGAAGGAGTTTGGCAAATGAATCAATTAAAAAACCAACTAAAGGAAATATTTTTTATCCATCTTCAAAGAACAGAATATATTTTGGCACACACACACAGAGCGTTCCCAGGGTGTACAAAGTCAAATCAGCAGGCCATTCATGATGAAGAAAACCAAAAAGCCATCTTGTTATATATACAAAGCACAGACAGGGTTCTCAGAGGGGGGGTGCAGACTTTCAGGCCAACCATTCAACAAGTACATAAATTTAGCCAATCAAAGATGACATTACAAAAACTACATCACCAGCAGTCAATCTGTGATTGGCTAAAAATGTATTGAAATCCATAGCAAGCTGAATGGTTTGAACTAATTGTTTCGTTAGTCGGCACAACCTCTCAAACTGACAAGAAAAATGGAAGAGGAAAAACCCCTAAAACCCGAACCCACACAGAACATGTTTTGTCATACCAGGGCAAGCTAGATTGGGAAGAGATATGCTAGTCTGAGAACAGAGCTGGGGTTTCTCTGCCTGACTGGCCTGGCAAACGTTCTCCGTCGACAAGGATGGCATGACTGATGAGGGTAAACGATCACCAAAGGTTGTGAACATCTTGATTTGTTTGTTTTGTTTAAGAGCAGAGGAGTACATCAACCTAATATCAATCATTTAGTGTGCAAAAATAGTAAGACAGACAGAAACACAATTGGAGGACAACAATTTTGAGAAAAGTGTTTTCAGATTTCAGGACAATATATTAGCCTCAGCCTGTGAAGATAGTATGCATCAACTGAACTGCTTTGCAAATATGTTAGTAATTACAGTACTTCTGTTAACATTTATTATAGTACTAGTACTTATGCTCAGATAGATCAAAAGACAAAAAAGGAAAACAGTTGTAGAGTGCAACAGGACAAGACTATTTTTTTCCCTTCAAGTTCAATCAAGAGGCCTGATAAGCGGATTTTTTTTCAAATCTAAGTAAGTCTGATTTTTATCACCAGATTGTAAAGGCTTCAAATGTGAAGTAAGCATTTGTACAAGAGCCCCCCCCCCCCCCCCCCAAAAAAAAAAAACAACCAAAAATCTGGAGGAAAAAAACATTCATTTAGAAGAAGTGAATTAACCTGTTTTGGGTTCTTTTATTTCTGATTATTTTCAGTTAAGATTACAATCATGCAAATTGTCTTCAATCATGACTTCAACATTAAATCTTATTTGAAATAAATAAAATACTTAACTTTAAACCCAAAGACCAAAGAAGGGACCCCCTCTCGTGCTACCCCCTCCAGAAAAGATATGAAGATATAAAATACAGAGTCACCATAGTAGACACCCCCTCCCCCCTTCCAAAATATCTTCCAATGAAAAAAACTTTTCTGTCAAGTACAATAGCCCATTCTTCCAAGTGTACTTTGTAATAGCCACAAAGTAAATATAATCAATACATAAAGATTACTGACATATATATGTAAGACAGTATACATAGTTAACAACAGTTTCAAAACAAACCCAGTAGGTTACAAACGCGAAACAAGATACTACCACAAGCCCATATTCACACGTATAAATGCACTCTTGAACATATATTAATATATCAGAAGCAGTCTTGTACCCCGAGAAGATGACTCACATGACTAGACAGTACGGCCAACAAATCAACAAATAAAAACTTTATCAGAAAGATGGCTTTTAAAGTTATCCATGCTCTACAGCATGCCCTATGTGCTTTGCAACTACTGTTACCCCAGCAGACCCTAGAACACTCAGAAACATTCTCGGCTTTCTGGGAAACATACAGTTTAAGCAGCCGATTAAGTGCTCATACCCTAACAAACTGACAAGATCTTTCATTGTCTATAATCTGGTACCGATTACAACCGTCGTGAAGAGAAGAAAATTTTTCTAAAGTGCCTTTCTCAAGGTCACAATTTTGGGTCTTCTAACAAGGTTCGAACACATAACCTTTCAGGTGCCAGCCCAGACTTTTCAAAATGAGCGAATGAAAGACCAGGTATTTAATTTGGTCACTTTTAAGCACAAGGGGGCTATCCCGAAAAATGCTGTTTTGAGAAAATCTAAGGTAAAGTTTTTTGCCCCTTGTTCAGTTTCTTTAAAAGACAAGGAGAGTTTTCACTTTAACCAAACAAATATACACACCAATGAAACCAAACTTCTTCTATAGGTAGGGCAATGCCCACTTTTGGTGTAGGTCAAGATTTCTGGAAACCTTCAAACCCCCGAAATCTGGGTTAGCCCGCTTGTCCTTAAAAGCGACCATTTATTCAATGCTGGCTATTTTTAGCACTAATTTTTTTCCCCCCTGTGCACAGCCCGTTTCAAGAATATTTTTAAAAAATCTGTGTGCTTTTGCAGAATCGACACAATAACCAAGAATGGAAGGCAAGAGAATATTTCACTGACTCTTCATCACTCTGTCTCTGTCTTTTCTTCTCTGTTCCCTTTTCTCTCTACAAATCTTTACCCATGATCTGCCTGTATACTACTATGCCTCTGGTGCAGGACCAAAGGTATTTCGTCAAATACTGATGAACGGAATGACTTTTTGGTACACAAATTTGGAACACTTTCTGTCTCTCTCCAAGTAAATGCACAGCATAGAAAAAAATTCAAAATTTACCATGTATCTATTAGACAAAAATGACCCTTCCCTACACTACAGTTCTGAACCTCAACCATTCACTGAGAAAAGCATACAAATCACTGAGACTAGACTAGTGCTAAACGTGAGCATTCACAAGAAAAATAGAAAGAGGACTTTCTACCGTAGAGAATCAATGAATAGAAAAACCCCCAAAGCAGACAGTCCGTCAAAGTGAATCAATAACCTAAGAGTGAAAGAAGTGCAGAACTTTGTCAAGTAAATCATTCACCCACAGATGTAATAAACAATTCTTTGTGAAACATTTTGTATGAAACACAACCAGAAAAAGAACAACACCCCTCCCCCCCCCCCAAAAAAAAAACAAAAAAACCCCATCATCCCACTCCAAAGAATAGCCCAAAAAAAGCTTCCCTGTGTCTGAGAGACATGTCGTGAAGGTGCTTTTAGAAAGAACAAAAATACAAAGATAGCTTTAAATCATGACTGAACTTCTGATGTGAAAGAAAAAGTAACAAGATTTATTTTTGACAAAATCAAAAGAACGAGGAAACTTGAGCAATCTGTGACAATTACCTGAACGAGCTGCCCCTGAGAAATGGCCGTAGTTGGCTCCATCTGTTATCATTGGTCCATCATTGATCGTGCCATTCAAAACTGGCTCCCTCAAGTTTTCCTGAAAAATTTTGGACATAAATCTGAAAGTAAATACTGAAAACGAATACAATCACAAATGGAAGTAGACTCAAAGCCCACAACATTACGTTAATCAGACTTTTAACATGACTACAATAGCAAACATTTCAAAACGCCTACGCTGAACACAACTCAACAGAAAAATTAGGAACCAAAAAACTTTCTCCCCCACCTCTGGTACCAGAGAGGGGAAAACTATTAGCTAATACCAAAAAAAGAAGAGCGAAGTTAAGATATTCATAATAAATACCACTTTACAGGTCACAAAAAACAACACTGAAAGCTCCTATACAAACTATTACTCTATCACTTAAAAAACTCACCTTTGATATCTGAAGCTGAATTATGGAATGCTTAATTGCTTCAATCATGGCCTGTTTGGTTTCCGGAGGGCAAAACAAAACCCAAAAAAATGGAGGGGGG